CAGCTTCTCTCGAGGATTCCGGCGGCTAGAATAACACCAGATGTCATATCGTTGAGTTCTACCATCTCGGCATGTGGTCGCAGCAGTCAGTGGCAGTTGGCATTGCTGCTGCTGACAGAGATGCCACGCCGACATAATATTGCGCCGAACTTGATCACCTACAGTGCCGCCATCAGTGCTTGTGAAAAAGGTGGCGAGTGGACTGCCGCACTGCAGCTGCGCGCCGACATGTCTTTGGCCAAGATCCGGCCTGATGTGATCTGTTGGAATGCATGCATCAGTGCTTGCGAGAAAGGCTGGGTTCGGAAATGGGTTGGGAAAGCATATCATATTTTCATATTGGCTAGTTTGTATTCCTTGTTGTGGAAGCTGTTTCAAGCGCTGTCAAAGCCCACACCCTTGGAGAACCCTCTGAAGCCCGTGCATACAGCAAGACACCCCATATGGTAGACTCACTCCATAGAGAATCTCCTGAAACCCTTCTCCCCCTCGAGCAAAACCTTGAAAAAACCCTGAAGCGTACACCCTAAACCCTAACTCCCAAAAGCCCTGAAACCCTGCAGGTGGCTACTGGCAGACGGCGCTGTGGCTCTTCTCCCTCTTGGTGACAGCCCAGCGCCCGGCATGATTTGTTTGACAGTCTTTTGTTTGAATAAGGGATTTAGGAAATTGTAGAAGGAGGCAGTTGATTGCTATTAAGATAACCTGAATCAATGCAACGATCGCCTGCCGTGGGACCTTCATGTTAATAGGTACAGCATTTTGGACCCAACGGATTCAGAGTTTAGGGTTAAGTTCAGGAAGTTGTTTTACATCACCGGAGCACTTTTGATGTAACCCCAAGCCCAAAAATGCCACAAGCCCCAATCCCTCTAACCGTAAACCGTCAACCCTACAGGAGCGCTAAGGTGCCTGGCGCCGACTGTGGTGAGCTTCAATGCCACCATCAGCGCGTGTGTGGAGGGCGGTGCCTGGCACTGGGCTTTGGAGCTCTTGTCGAAGATGAGGAAAGCGAAGGCTGGGAGGTGTTCATTTTTGTTGGAATGGTTTTCAAAGAGTTCTCATGGCAGTGGCCGTATTGCTTTAAAAGCTTTCACATTGTGTTGGATGTATTCAGTATAAAGCTTGGATACTGGCTTAGAAGGGTTGTTGTAGGGGAATGAAGTTCGTGCTAAACTCTGCTAAACCCTACACCCCAAAAGCCCGAAGCCCTAGACCCTAATACTAATTTCTTGGGGCTGTGTTAGAACCCTGAAGGCTTCCCTAAACCCACTACACCTGAAAAGCACATTTTTTGGGGGGCTCTGTTAGAACCCAGAAGGCTATACTATAGTTATAATAAGGAGCCCACAAAGTAGTATAGGTAACTCTTAAGGCCCCTATATTATGTTCTGGGGAGCTCTAGTTAGAACTCGGGAAGGCTTCCCTAACACCTACTACACCTTAAGCGCACTGTTTTTTTGGGGAACCTTAAACCCTACGCCCAAAAAGCCCTAAGCCCAGGATTATACTAGATTCTCTTTTGGGGGGCCCCAGATTATAATAAGCTCTAAGCTCTGGACCCTAAGACTGTTTTTTGGGAGCAGTGGTTTGAACCGAGAAGGCTCCCCCCGACGTGGTGAGCTTCAGCGCCGGCATCAGCGCTTGCGAGCAGCAGTGCCGATGGAGGGAGGCGCTCAGCTTCTGGTCTTGTGTTAAGGAGGCAGTAGGTACTGATTAGAATGGGTAATGAAGGGGGTTTAGGGTTTAGTTGCTTTTTGTTAAGGAGGCTTCATGTTAAGCAGTAGGTACTTATTAGAATGAGTAATGAAGGGGGTTTAGGGTTTAGGGTTTAGTTGCTTTTTGTTAAGGAGGCTTCATTTTGGGTTAACTGCCCTAAGGAGAGTGGCCTTTAAAGGTTAATTACCATAAGGAGGCTTACTTTTAGGTTAACTGCCGTAAGGAGGCTTAATTCATGTTATTTACCAGAAGGAGGCTTAGCATTTTGAGTTAATTACATGGTGAGTAGTGATAAAGGGTTTAGGGTTTGGGGATAGAAGGGTTTAGGGTTCAGGGTAGGTTTTAGGGATATTACTCGCCATAGATCTCCATTATGGTAGCGAAAAGAGCCCAGGCTTGCTTGCGGACATGGAGGTGTCAAAGGTTCTGCCGGACTCGATTACCTTCAATGCTGCCGTGGGCGCCTGTGCACGTATGGGCTTCTGGCAGAGAGCACTTTGGCTCTCTTCGCGGATGGCCGCGGCAAGGCTGCAGCCGAACATGACGACCTGGACGTGCTGTGGCTCGGCTTTGAACTCATAGGAGGCCAAAAGAGGTTTTAGCCTATGCGGGTTTAGTAGGGATTAGGGTTCCCGCACCCATAATAATTAGGATTCATGTTAAGGAATCCCTACCCCAAGAATCTTAAACCCCCCCTTTGGACCTCCCATCATGAATTGAAGAAATCACCAAGAGGAGCCTCGAACCTCAATCCCGGCCCTCGAGCATCCTAAACCCTGAAAAGCCTATGTAAGCCCTACGTTGGATGATATAAATCCTGCATAAGCCATAATAAGGAATATACCATAAAATCCCATAGTTCAGGGTCCTTAAGGTAATGCAGGATCTATCTCATCAACCGTATTCCTTAAAGCCGCGCAACCCTACCAACCCCCCCGGCTAGAACCCTGTAAAATCTTTCAACACCCTTATCAACACCACAGAATAACGCCGCGAAAGGACAGTTTTTGAAAAACATCCCCGAAGGGTCCGTGTACTCACTATTATAGGACTTTTCGTGCTTTTCAGCTACCAAAAACCATAAATAAGGACTACTTGGACCCTTAGGGATCGGAAACATCGTCGTAGACCTCATATGGACGCCGAGGCTTCAACGCATCTGAGACCGCCCTGCAGTGGCACGCGGCATCCTACCTTCTTCTGAGGATGCCTCTGGACGAGCTCACTACAAGCCTCCGAACCTTCAAAAAGGGTTTTTGGATTTTCGAGGTTTTAGGGTTTAGTTCGGGTTTGGGGTTTTGGGCTTTGAAAAATCAGTTTAAGTTTTCCAAGCATCGAACTTCGGTTTTCACGTTTAGGTTTCAGGTTGGAGCTTCGGTCGTAGGGTGCACGGTTAGAACGTTTCGGCCAGGCTACAGCCTGTAGCCTCGAGAGATCCCAGTACCCCTCGATTAAGGAATATATCTTAAATCACAACATTAAGCCCCCACACCTCACACCCTCCAAACTCTAAAGCCTAAAATCTAAGCCCCTGCGACCAGTTGAGAGCTCCTGGTTAAGTTTAGGGTTGAGTGTTGGGGTAAGATATTGTTCAGGGTCCTTCAAGGGTTCCTTGAAGGGTTCTGCAAGGTGCCTTATGTTCAGCGGTTAAGTTTGCGGCTATAAGCTCCGGGGCTGCGGATTTAGGATCTCAGGAATCTACGTAAGATTTTGTGTTTAGCATGTGGGCTTGAGGTGTCGAATTTCCAGGGTGTACGGGCTGCGAGACAAGACTTACCCAACATACTTGGCCCCGTAGGCCCTAAACCCAACAGGACACGAGCAAAATAACCTTAGCCCTAAACCCCAAGCCCTGAACCCTAAACCCCAAGCCCTGAACCCTAAACCCTAAACCCTAAACCCCAATCCCTAAACCCTAATGTGCAGCTCCCTCATAAAGAAGTGCCCCCTCACAGAATCCTGGATTGTACTATAGGGGTCGGAAAAACAGGTATAGTCCCAAATATACGTATAGGTAACTTGCTATGCCTTTGCTACATCTCCAAAACCCTGTGTTTGTGCTTCCTTATCCAGGCCCCTATTGCACCATTATGGTGTCGACTACCCGAAACCCTGTCTGTGACTGCCCATAACTATATTCGGATCCCTACGATAGCCCCGATTTTGGGGCCGGGGTTTATCTATTAGTTTGGATTTTTCTACAATACACTGCGCATGGTGAATGAGCCAGATTCTGTGCATCAAAGGCTTCTCAATGACGTGAGCCCTAAGCCCTGAACCAGAAGCCCCTTAACCCAAACCATGAAGCCCTAAACCCCGAACGCACGGCCCCAAACTCAAAAGCTTAAGCCCTGAACCCTAACCCAGAGAACCCAATACCCCTTAATTAAGGAGTATACCTTAAATCATAATATGAACCCCCTTCATAGCTTAAGGTATATTCCTGAGTTAAGGGGTATTGGGCTCTCTGGGAAGCCGCATGCTTGTTTTGGACCCTTCCCTAAACCCTGAAACCCTAAACCCTAAATCCTGAACGCTAAACCTTAAGCCCTACACAGTGAGCCGCATTTAGTGTGTCCGGTTTCGGGCAGCCGGGCGGGTGCGATGGAAGTTTCCCTGGACGATTTGAAGCCAAGGCTCACGAGTCTTCGGAGTCGTATAACATACTGTAGTACTACTACAAAGTACCATTAATCTTCTATTCTATTTATTGCTTTATTTCTTATTCGTGTCATATTGCTGTAGTATGTCTATAAAGTACCACCTTTTTACAAAGATTCTGTTCTATTTATTGCTTTATTTCTTATCAGTATCATTAGTATTATTCCCCTCCACCACCGAATTATTTTGTTTCCAGGGCTTTGTAGGCTTCTACGCGTTGTTTGGTTGGGCTCGGCAGGTCGTCGCAGGGCTTTGGAGGCTTTAGTCCTGCACTGCCATACGGCGCTAACGAACTCTGCAGGTCCTGTTTCGGCAGTATTTTCGACGACAGCCCATTTATCTAAACCCTAAACCCTAAACCCTACTTCTTTTCATCACGTCTCCCGTCCAGCCTTGTCTGCTGTATACCTTGGTTCTAATTATAGAGCTGAGGTTGAACATTTTGAAACTCTCATGTGAACCTCTAAACTCTATACCCCGAACCTTGAACCCTTAACCCTCAACCCTAAACCCTAAACTCTATGCCCTAAACCCTCGGCCCTAAACTAGGCCTTAGTCTCCGAAGCCTGCCTTGCTACAGGTGCAGCCAGCGCATGAGAACTGGAAGTGGCTGCGAAGGGATGCGAGAGCCGTGGACATTGGCCCTGGCCAAGGCTCCCTCTTCGGAGGTTCCTAAAATTTTGGGGTACCTTTAAAAGGGATCCTTAAAGGGTTCCTTAAAGGGATCTATAACGGTTCTATAAAGGGTTTTAGGGTTTAGGGTTTGGAGTTTGCTAGGACTGTCAGCTTTTGCAAGACGCACTTCTGCAACTTCTGTCTGGTTCTTAGTGGCAAATGAGGGAGTGGGTTGAAGGAACTATTGTTGGGGAAATATATAGGGACTACTACGGTTGATGATGTAAATCCTGCATACCCTAGACTATGGGAATTATGGTATGTTCCTTATTTTGGGTAATGCAGGACTTATATCATCAACCGTAACATGGTGGGATAGCGCAGGCTCTATACCAAGTGGATGGTTGTCAAAATTATGACCCCTTTTCGGGTACCTTAAATATTAGGTGCTGTATTATAATAGGGACCCAAAAAGGGACGATAGTTTTGACAACCACCCAAGTAAAGAGTGTGAGGGTCAGGTGTATCCGATTCGAGGGTTGACGAGCAGGCCCCGCCGACTTTCCCTGAGAAGGACACCCACGACCAGAAGGATGTGATCCGCTCCAGTTTGGCCATCAGAGCGTGTGAGCGTCGGGGAGACCTGTTCGGCCAGCAGCAGAGGTTTTGTATTCGGCCTCTTTTTCTTCTTCTTCTTTGCTTTTCTCTGTAAGCCCGGGAAACTTCAAATCTGAACCATATCGCCATATTGTGGTTAAGCCGGGTACGCACAGCCAGGATTGTTCTGGCAAGTTGCGATTACTATGGGAGACATTCTGAACATCAAACCCTAAACCCAAACCAACTTCTCACTCACGACTGCTGCTTTTATCTGAATCATTCTGAAACACCAAAACCCTTCATACGTCGACTCATGACTGCTACCATTGTGTGAACCTTGTTCTTGTTCTTGCAGCAAGGAAGCTGGCAGCAGGCAGCGCAACTGCTTGCTGGGATGCCACCGGCAGACGTCCGGCCCGACGCCATGCAAGCACTGAGGGTTTGGGGGTTCCTTTTACCGACCGTTGGTTAGTAGGGAATGGAGGAATGGGGTACAATTATAACTACTATTGCTACTATTCTTCCATTCCCTACTAACTAAAGGTCAGTTTAAGGGATCTGCAGGGACGTCGGCTTTCCTGTAAGGGATCTACACGGGTTCGGGGCATAGTGGAGAGGTCGGAATAGTTGGTGCTAGTCTCGCCCCGAAAATCCACAGCTTTTAGCATGTAGGGCTGGGGGTTTTGGGATTAGCAATTGAGCCCTGATATCCGCAGAAGTGGTAAGCATCGGAGTTACCTTTGCGATTACCTCCTGGGGCCCTAAACCCTAAACCCTAACCCTAAACACTCAACCCTAAACCCTAACCCTAAACCGGTTCCAGCCCGAAGCTCTGTAAACCAAGGATGTCATCAGCTTCAACTCCACCACGAGCGCCTGCGGCAAGGGACGGCAGTGGCAGATCTCATTGGGCCTACAGGCAGGGTCCCCGCACAGTACCCTCAGATGGCGATTAAGGGTTTAGGGTTTAGGGCATTTTTTTGAACTTATCAAAAAACGACAATTTGCCGAGAAATGGTGGTATATCGTAAATAGAACCGAATCGCTAAATTGTTTCCACTTAAACTAGGTTTCGCCAACTTAATATTCTTTGAGCCCACAGCCCATAGCCCCAAAACTTAACCCTAAACCCGAATCCCCAAATCCTACACCCTAAACCCTACAGTAGAAGCCAGAAAGTTTGAACATCATTATCCTCATGCCCTTAAGGCTAAGTATAGGGGATTCCAGCACTATTCATCCTAAACCCATGTTCCAACTTTCTGGGACTAACTATAGAACCCCAAAGCCTAAACTCCGCCAAGAGCACCAAGCTCCGGAGGCCGAGATGAGGATCGCCAAGCTCGCTGTCGACCTGATCGGCTTCAACACTTGCGCCTTTTCTGCCCACGGAGGTTTAGGGTTTCTCTAGGTTTACATAAGGGTTCAGGGTTTAGGGTGTAGGATGTCTATTAAGGGTTTAGGTTTAAGGGTTTAGGGTGTAGGACTTCTATCTGGGTTTAGGTTTTCGGATTTGTAGGGGCGCTCATAAGGGTTATATAGGGTTCCTGAAAGGTGGTCATAAAGGCTTTATATAGCCTCTGTGGAGGTTATGAGCGGGTTGTACACGGCTTTGTAAGGGTTTATATGGGTTCAGGATTTAGTTTTCTGCATGACCTGACATACAAGCATGGAGACTCTGCTCCCGAAGGTTCTGAGGTCTAGACGCTCCTTGTCCTCCACTAGATGGGTGGAATTGTTGGGACAAGGGGCCCCAGCAAACGCTTTGTGTAGCAGGATCCTCCTAAACTTGGGGCCGCTAAATTCAGGAAAGGGCTTAGGCGGTTTAGGGTTTCAAGCTTTCGGATTTCACAACTTGGGATTTCAGGCATCAGGGTTTACAGTTTAAGGTTTAGGCCCAAGGGCTCTCAGGTTTGGGATTCTGCTATCCGAGTCTGCACCTGGTGCTTTTGCAGCTAAGGTGCCAGCGCCTGTGGCGCAGCTGGTCAATGGCAGACGCTTGTCAATCCGCCAGTCCTCCACAATTTTAGGGTTTAGGGTTTAGGGTTTATAGGGTTTAGGGATGTTAAGGGTTTAGGGCTTATGGTAGGTATTGACAGTGCCATTGATTTCGTCGCTCGGTGCAGTCCGAGTCAAATCGTCGACGGGTTCACAGTTTGGCAGGGCTGCCCTTTAGAATCGTAAACCTGGCTCAAGCTTGAACCCTCAACCTACTTGTACCACCCTAAACCCTTAACCCCCAACTAACATGGAACGCTAGATCCGACGATGCAGGACTGTATGAGTGTGTATATATTATATATATATATACATATATATATATATATGTTAGTTCTCTTTCCGCCCAAAGCTGTGTTTTTGTTTGCAAAGAACTCCAAGGCCCAAAGCCGAAGCCCTGAACCCTAAACCCTGAAAGATGCAGCCCAAAAACTGAGCCCGTAACTCGAGGAATGCCATGCGCAACTCCCACGCTCTCTGTGTGCAGCGGCTGGCGCCAGACACGCGGACCATGAACGCCGGCCTGAGCGCCTTGGAGAAGGAGGGGCAGGGTCGCAGGCGTCGGGGGTTCAAGGGGATTCCGTGCGGATTCCATGAAGGGTTTTGAGAGAGCTGTCTATGGAATCAAGGGCTTGGGGTTCAGGGCTGCGTGTTTAGGATCGGGGTCGGGTGTAGGTTTCATGGTTCAGCTCAGGGTGCAGGGTTTGAGGGTTCAGGGTCGCTGGAGTCTTGGTCTATGTCTGAATACTGCGGCAGTCTCCCGCCATTTTCATGACCGACACGCTCATGCATAATATTCACATCGCAGCCTTTATCACGGTCGTCATCATCATCATCGTCATCGTTTACACGTTTGCCATCGTCACTCCCACCATGGTCTGCGTGCGCATTGTCTAAGCTCTAAGACCCCGTACCCTAAACTGGCGTCCAGCTTGTATCCGCAGGGACCGAAAACGTTCTTCGGCACGGCTGCGGGTGCGAGACAGAGTTTAGAGACTATCTGGAAAAGAATCACCTGGTGCTCTCCCCAAAAGGCCTCTTGTTCCGTCCGTTGCCTCAGCCGGATGCGGACGGAAATCTCTGGCGACGAGCTGCCAGCGTAAACTCACTGGCCACTGCGATGGTTCGTCCGCAAGGAGCCCAGGTCGGAATTACAGCTTACTGCAGTCCTCCAGAAGCCTGCATGACTTGCTTCGGAGCAAGAGCATTGCTGAGGCCACTGAGGATGCTAAAAAATGCTCGGAGAAGTATGAGAACCAGGCCTTCAAGGAGCCTTGCCAAGAAGGGGCAATCCAGGGACTTGTGAAACGCTGGGAAGAGCGACCTGAACTCCTGGCTGGGGCGTGGCTTTCCAGCCACCGGCAGCAGTCCCGAAGTCCGTGCCCACCTCAATCCTCGGCTCCTTGAACCCTAAACCCTAAACACCCTAAGCCCTAAACCCTAAGCCTTAAACCCTAAGCCCTAAACCCTAAACCCTAAACCCTAAGCCCTAAACCCTAAACCCTAAGCCCTAAACCCTAAACCCTCTCTATCAAAGGAACCTTAAACCCTAATGGTTTTCGCGGGCAAGGCCCAAAACGGGCCTTGGCCACGAAGTTTGGGCCTTGTCCACGAAGGTTTGGGCCTTGCCCACGAAGGTTCCGACGCCCCTCGTGTGGCTCTTTGGACAGTTCCATTTTTTGGACTTGAGCTAAGTGTCTCGTGCCAACCGGGAGGACGATCCGGACACACTCCACAGTCTCACACACATGCAACGAACCTATGTACAACGCAATGCATACTCGAATCCGAATTGACAAATACTGTAACTGTCGCACAATGTGCTAACAATGTATCACGAAGTCTGTAAGTTATCGTGTACTCTTTATCATTCCACGAGCCATGCTACTTCTCGAGGTCCTTCTGCTTTTGTGGCTGCGCGGCCAGGCGGGAGGGCGTCCGTGTATGTTGTGTGTTAAGTTTGCTACATAGGTGTTCTGTCAAGCGCTATGCAGGGCGCTACGCGGGTCCGTAAGCGCCGCAGCAAGGCCGGTGACACCCTTTTATCAGCCTGTTTGGCCTCCTCTCTGTCTCTCTGTCTCTGTCTTTCTCTCTTTCTCTCTTTCTCTCTTTCTCTCTTTCTCTCTTTCTCTCTTTCTCTCTTTCTCTCTTTCTCTCTTTCTCTCTTTCTCTCTTTCTCTCTTTCTTTCTCTCTCTCTCTCTCTCCCCCTCTCTCTTTCTTTCTCTTTCGTCCTCGTCCTCTTTTTCTTGCTGCTGCGCTTGCAAGAGGTTTTTCACTGTTACCTGTGCGCTCCGGAGGTTTACCCACGACGTGGGGACCTGTCGGCAAGGAGCTTACCGGCTAGAGCACATCTGACTTCTGCTTCAACTTGAATGGCTGATTTGCATTGCTTTGGTGAGGTTGTTCCACCGTGGGTCGCCGTCTCGACGTGTAAAACAACGTCCCTTCCATCTGCAGCCTTGTTGCAATGCTCAGGTGGCTGCCAGGCTTGTGCGAAGGCGTGTTCGACTCTCAGTTTAGATGGCCTTCCGTTGTCTTTTCTTGTCTTCATGTTTACCCAGTTTATCCTGCGCTTGTGTCTACTGTCTCAGTGCCCATGCCGGCTGTTCTAGATTTTAGTGGTCCTGTGCAGCTCTGCAGTGGGGCTGGATCTCGTGATGGCGGTGATGGTGGAGGTGCTGCTGCTGCTCCTGCTGCTGCTGCTGCTTTGTTAATTCACCCGCTCTCTCTTCCTCTGCTTCCTGAGGAAACATAACTAATAGGCTTTTGCAATGGGTTGTGCCATGCTGATGGTGATCTGGCAATCTGCAAGCGACTCTTACGAGGTGCCGCTGTTTCTCGAAATCACATGGGTCAAGGACCAAGTCAGCCCATCATGCCCGGATCCAGTGCATCTTCAAGCTGTGCGATTATGCGTTCCCTCATTTTTAGGCTGTTCGCAAAGTGGTCGGTGCCACAGTCGATGAAGCATGCTCTGTTTACATCACGCTTCGTCATTTGTCAGGTGATCTCCATTCGCCGCGCCGTCTTGCAATGGCTTCGTGTCCCGTTCTTGGGTTCTTGGGGAAGCGGGTGTAGTACTAGTATTTTAATGCAGTCTTTGTCTCCTGTGTGTGCATGTGCAGGACATGGCCAACATTCCGCGGCAAATACGCGACTCTCGAACGGCCTTAACAGTTGCTTGCTTACATCTTGCCTTGCCTGCTCCGACTGTTGTCTGGTTGTCAGTGTGTGGGCTTGGTATCCTTGTGTTGATTGTGTTCGTGTGTTGGTAGGCTCACTTCAACTCCTGGTGGAAGCAAGATGTGAGTGGCTTAGCTTGCTGTGGCGCTGGACAAGACTGGCGAGTGGCACAGAATTTTTGCAGAGACTTGGCTCCCTCTCGCGCCGCCACCTCCAAAGCCGTGGCCATGTGTTCACGTAGCCCTGCTGACATGAAGCGCTGTCCTCAGGAGGACGTGAGCACAACAAGTTCAACCCAGCGCCGGCCCGGACCTTGGGGCGGTTCACAGGGACTTTGCCGCAACTTGATACTTCTTGAATGATGCTACGACGAAGCTTGTGTGCGAGGACGGCGTCGGTGAAGCGCAGGCTTCTACTGTGATTGCTGTTTTCCAGTGCAAATCATGCAGCGTTCATGTGATGCTTGGACTACGCGACCTACGAGAGCTGCTTGACACTTACTGTCACTGTTCGTGCTTGCGTGTTTTTCAATATCTGATTTTGGCATGTCCCCCAGCTTTTTGTTGCAGGTGCCGCGAATGAAAGCGTGACTCTCAGCCACTGCAGTCAAGGCAGCCCATCTTTCGCGTGTAATGGTGCCAGGACGGTCGACTGGTGAAGAGCAGGAAGGCCTGGTCGTTCGATAATTGTGTGACTCGCTGACATGAAGCGTTGTCCTCAGGAGGACGTGAGCACAACAAGTTCAATCCCGCGCCGGCCCGGACCTTGGGGCGGTTCACAGGGACTTTGCCGCAACTTGATACTTCTTGAATGATGCTACGACGAAGCTTGTGTGCGAGGACGGCGTCGGTGAAGCGCAGGCTTCTACTGTGATTGCTGTTTTCCAGTGCAAATTTGCAGCGTTCATGTGATGCTAGGACTACGCGACCTACGAGAGCTGCTTGACACTTACTGTCACTGTTCGTGCTTGCGTGTTTTTCAATATCTGATTTTGGCATGTCCCCCAGCTTTTTGTTGCAGGTGCCGCGAATGAAAGCGTGACTCTCAGCCACTGCAGTCAAGGCAGCCCATCTTTCGCGTGTAATGGTGCCAGGACGATCGACTGGTGAAGAGCAGGAAGGCCTGGGTTTTAGATATTTGTGTGACTCGTGACGCAGCTGTGTCTTTTTTTGCACTTCATGTATGTCACCCGCTCAGGGAGTGCCGCCATCTCACCCTTGCGGTGTGCTGTGCTCAAATTGCTGTCGTGTCCAACGTGTCGTCTGCTTTGTGTCTCTTTTGAGGTAACGGCGGCACGCCCACCTTCCTACCTTCCAGCATGGGTCTTGGTGTTGAGTGGCTTAGTGTGAGGCCTTGTCACATACACAGCTTGTTGCGTCGGGGTGATGGCAGTGGTGTCATTGCCCAGGAATGGTTCGGGGAGGCTGACTGTGTGTTTGTTGCCAGTTCAGGCCCGCTCCAAAAAGGGACCCCCTCAGGGGGGGCCTGGAAGCTCCAGCGAACAGAGTTCCAGGACCTAGGGGTCTCCAGGCCGGTCCGAAGGCGGGATTTGGTCAAACTTCACTTTGACCCTTTTTGCGCTGCCCCTTTTCTGCCCTGCCCTGCCCTGCCCTGCACTGCCTGCCCTGCCCTGCTGCCCTGCCCTGCTGCGCTGCCCTGCTGCCTTGCCCTGCTGCCCTGCCCTGCCGCTTTAAACCCTGCCCCAGAAACAAAGAAAACCATAGAATGAGTTTGGGGCTAAACCCTAAAAGGAATAGGTTTGGGTGGTTTGGCCGCCTTAGACGGCGTGGGGTGGGAGAGTTACATGTAAGGGCCATCCACAATCAGGCTCCAACAGCCAATCGTCAGAAGACGACGCACTCGAGATTACACTGTCGCGAGATACTTCCGCTTATGCGCCATTCTACGGCAAACCCTAAGCCCTAAACCCTAAACCCTGAGCCCTAAACCTAAGCCCAGAAGCCGCAACGACTTCCCGGACTTCACCCAAGACCTGAACCCTGAACCCATAAAACACATACACGCCTAAGTCCTAAAGCATCCCAGACACCGAAACCCTGCATCTTACCGTAAAGCTTAAACCAGAACCGAGGGCAGCACAAACCAGGAACAGCCAGCCAAGAACTCGCTTAATGTTTCAGGGTTCAAGGTCAATGTGGGAACCTGATTAAGAAACCTTGGGCCTTTATGAGGGTTCCTCATATGAATCCTACTATTTTGGGGTCATGGGCCCAGGGTTTCTCAATCAGGTTCTTACGTTATATGGGTTGTGGGTTTCGGACCTAAGGTTAGGGGCACCAAATCCTCGTGTTCTTACTTATTGCTATGACTCCCCTCAAAGGCGGGTGAGTGGCAGCGAGGTTTGTCAATGGCCTCGCAGATGAGACTTGGCTTTCGGGACCCTTGTGGAACAGGCTTTTCACGCGAACACATATAGCATAGCATGTTCACAATCGACCTAGAAGGGATACTGGTTTCATGATATTTCAGCTATTCAACGGCTATGTTCAGCCTTCAACATGTTTGCTTCAAGGGTCGCGGGACTTAGTGAGGTGCGCTGTATTTGCGGTAGTTGGGCGGTTTAGGGTTTAGGGGTTTAGGGGCAAACTCTAAACCCTCAACCCAAAACCCTAAGCCCCAAACGTTAAACCCTAAATACTTAACCCTAAACCCGCAACCCTCCAGCGGGGTTGGTGAGTCACAGGGATTGCGGGCTTCGGAGGTGCTCGGGCCGTGAGCCCCAAACTGTAAACCCAAAGCCCTAAAGCCAAAGCTCCAAACCCTAAATGCCTGACCTACCTTTTGAGGGTTCATTATTATGGTTTCTATACATATATATATATATATATATATATATATATATATCGCAGGCATGTTGCCAATCGAAACACTCACCGCAGCTGTTAGTGTCGAGGCTAGCATGACAAGGTCATAATCGGTAGACCGTCGGGCAGCATGGGCATCAAGATCGGCCAATCTGGCTTCGTGCGACTGGACTCGAAGTTCGGAAATCCCTGCTGGCGGCAGGGCTTAGTCGTACAGAAAGCTGACAAAGGTCATTGGCGGATCATTGTGCCCGTGGCGCAAGAAGCTAGTGGCTCGTCAGCGGTGGCTGCTTTACTGCTGAGCCGACGGTTTATCTTCGTAGAGGTGCACAGTGACCAGTTTCTTCGAAGATGCACCAAGCCATCCCTCGAGATAGACGTCGATTCAAAGCTACTGCTGGAGGCCGCGCTAGAACACCTGGACAAGAACACCGGCTTGGTTTTTGCAACGGCGTCAGAAGACGCACCGCCACCTGCGAAGAAGCAGGAGGACTCAGTGGACAACTCGTCGTCAGACGACGGGGAGGACTCGGATGCAAGCAGCAATCTGGGAGAGTTAGTGCGCGACATGAAAAAAGCATGGCGGTCGCATGGTACTGGAGACGAGTCCGAGCCAGACAAGAGCGAGTCCATGACCCTCCACCCGCAAAAGCAGCCTCACAGGTTCAAGATGCTGCGCAGCAAGAAGTCCGGTGGAAAGGACAAGCATCTACAGGAGGAGGCGTGGTCGCAAGCAGCTGTGGCGGCAATGGGACAAGGCAAAGACCCACTGCAGGCGCTTGCAACGTTGCAGCTTCTGAAGCTGACCGCAAAGGGAAAGCACAAAGGCAAGAAGGGGTCAAACCGGTCTTCAAGCTCTTCCAGTGCGAGTGCAAGCTCAAGCAGCAGCGAGGGCTACAGAAGACGCAAAGACCCCAGTCTCAAAGGAGCAGCTCGCGCCATCGGCAACTACCGCCGACTGGGAAAGTCCATGAAGGCCCATCCTCTCAGGCACATCAAGCGCTACATCAAGAACGTCGAGGAAGATTTGGGGGTCGACGCAGACCAGCCTTATCGTCTAACCGATCATGGCCGCAAGATCAATTGGGGAAAGCAAAAGGGGCTGCAGAGGACATACTACATGCTCGGAGCGATCCTCGACTTGATCTTGAAGGGCAAGTACGAACGTGCAGGACTGCAGGTGGTGCAATGCCTGAGGGCGGTGCACCAGGCCGCGATCAACCAGGGATCGTGGGACGTGGCATGGCTCCTCACCAACCTCCCAGACCCGTTGGCGCGCAGGCGCTTCGGCGGGGAAGAGGAGGGCCTGGAGACCATCGCTGCCTACGTGAAGAGTGTGCAGGAGCTGGAGAAGCGAACTCGGGACTTCAAAGGCCTGAGGGACCCAGCAGCCGACCACAACGACGAGCACGACGAGGAGGCAAAGCCACCAAAGGGTCGCGGACGCGGCCAAGGCCAGAAGTGAACCCTGACACTGGCAGCTTTAATTCGAAATCCCTGGGGGAGCGTCTGCTAGAAACAGTGTTGCTCCAGAGAGGCTCTTTTGCACGTTTTTTCCGAATCTTTCGTTCTCGGTGTTTGGCCGAGCAGGGGACTGTCACGTCACCGCCCGATGGTGACTGCAACCTTTTTCCGTCTTTGCTTCACTTCCGCACGTTCATGGGCCATCGGAAGGCTAGAAGATCAGGGCAAAGACGAGGCATTGCTCAAGCCAGAGAGTGGATGCTCGTGCTTTGGGCTTACTTCAATTTCATTGAGGCAGGCTCTCCGTGCACGACCGCTGCCATGGAACATTGTGTCACACATGCTGCCCAGGCCATGTGGACGCGCTTGCATGTTCAGCACGCCAGCAATGTTTTCCAGCAAGTCCTTGAGTTTTGCCGCCTTGAGGTTTTGGAAGCCCCGAGTCGAGGCATCAAGAGACTACACGAATTGATAGATTTAATTAGCACTAGTGGGTACGATAAATTAAATACCGTGAGTTTTTCTGACATGGGCAAGAATGCGAAGTTTGTCAAACCTGATAGGATGTCTTTGCCTGATAAAGGCGGTGTGCTCGCACCTGAAGACCATTTAAAGGGAAAGCATCGTGATCTCTTCCTGCGGATGGCCGAACATGTGCCTGCAGTGGGCGAACCGATTGTGGGCGTGAGAGCTTGTCACCGAGTAGCCAAGGCACATGTTAGGGAAGTGTATGACAGGCTTCTTGCATCTGGAGTTGCGAAGCTCATTCCCGCAAGTGAAGGGCTGTACGATAGCCGCGGGAATCTCGTTGCAGGTGGGCTCTTTGCAGTATCCCACAAGCCTAACACGGACCGTGTGATCAATGACAGACGCCCGTTCAATCGTCTCGAACGGAGATTGGTTTGGGCCAAACTGCCGCATGGCGCTTTGCTAACACAGGTCATCTTAGAGGATCACATGTCCATTCGTGCTAGTGGAGATGATTTGCAAAATTTCTTTTACCTTTTGCGCCATGTACCAGAATGGCTTCCTAGAGACGTTGTCGGGGAGCCTGTGCCAGGGCATTGGTTTAAAGAATGGGGGTGTGACCCAGATGGAAGCTATGTCCTAGCTTTCACGGTCCTGTGCATGGGGGACCTGAACGCAGTAGATGTCGCTCAGCAGACGCACCTTGAGATTTTGCGTGACTACGGCGTCATGGCACAAGAGCACGTGCTGGAGTTCGACGCTCGGCTCCCTGCTTCGCCAACTTTAGAGGGTCTTTACATTGATGACCACATCACTATGCAGATGTTCCCAAAAAAGAAAGCAGGCAGAAGTCGCAGAGAGCCGATGTGGTCGAAAGACAGGGAAATCGTCCGTAAATCCCGCCGTGCCTACGAGGAGTTGTCTCTGCCCGTAAGCTTAAAGAAGCGGTTCACCGAACTCACCAGCTTCACTGCTTGGGGTACTCGTGTTGATAGTCAATCGGGTTATGTAGGGACGCCTCCCGAAAAGTTACATGTTCTGGCACAGCTAGTGTTGCAACTGCTGACCCTCGGCGTTGCCACCAAGAAGTGTTTGCAGCAAGTCGTTGGGTTGTTTGTACATCCTTTCATGCATAGGCGAGCGTGCATGGCCGTCTTCGGTGGCATTTATGGGTTCATAGATAGTCTCCCCGAGCACAGTATGGCTAAGATCCCAAGGGAAGCCGCTGAGGAACTCCTCGTTGCAGTGGCAGTCCTGCCTCTCGCACATGCGTGTGCGCGTTGGCCGCTCAGCCAGAGGCTTGCCGCAACCGATGCCAGTGCAGATGGAGGAGGAAGGTGTTCTGCCGTGGTACCGTACTGGGTATCCCACCTAATGTATTTGTGTGCCGAGCATAAGGGTGAGTATACTCGGTTAAATTGGTCATCAGGTGAGTTGGCTCCTCCGTCAGCAATGTGCAGACCGGACTTGCTCTTAGAACGCTTTGCCAAACTCCAGCATTGGTTTGTTTCTGATAAGGTGCGTTTTCGACGTAAACGGCGCATCAACTTGTTGGAGTTGAGCATGATCCGGCGTGAGCTCGTCGAAGGCGCATCTCGCACAGCTCAGGGTTTGCGCATGGTCAACCTGTGTGATTCACGTGTTGCTTTAGGAGCCTTCGCAAAGGGTCGCTCTAGCAGCAAAGCCTTAAACCAGATCTTGAGATCATGTTTGGTATGGTCCCTTGCTGGGTCAAAGCTCCTTGTCAACCTTTGGATACACACTGGCAGTAACCCCGCTGATTACCCTTCACGCAACAAGCCCATCCCAGAACCTTTGTGCCCTGAAGACGACGAGCTAAGCGCGCTAGGGTCCGAGTGGCAGGCGATGCAAAGCATTCGTAGTCATGCTGCGTGCTGGGCTGCCGATCCTGCGATTCGCGTTGCGGGCGAGCCAAGGTCAGGCTTAGGGAAGGGTTTCGTGTATAGGGAGGTTTTCGGTTTAGTGGATGATTTGTGCCGCGAGTTCAAAGGTGTAGGAGTGTTGGTCTCAAGCCCGTCCCTGCATGAAACAGGATCCGCTTTTGCTGGAGCGGTTTTCTCACGGTTGCTTGAGGATGCCAGACGGCAAAATCAGCTATGGCATTTTCGTTTGCCTGTGCCGCTGTGCGACGAGCTGCTGAGACAGGTGCTCGTGCTGTGTGAAAGGCTGCACGAAAACGGAAGCTTTTACACTTTCGAGCTCCCTGCACGTAGCGCGTCATGGGCCCAACCCAACGTTGTCGAAGTTTTAGCTCGCACCCAGGCTGCATGTGTCAAAGTCAAGCGGTGCTGTTTTGGCATGATAGGCCACTTCCACGTTAAGCAGCCGTTGCGTTTCGCAGGCACGCTTCCTGGACTTTCTTGCCTCAGCAAACAGTGCAGGTGTTCACGGACACGAGGCGTGACAGGCTCAAACCGTAGTAGTCAAGTCTTGCCTTTTAGCACGGTCTCTGGACACCGGCGCTACCCGAAGAACTTCTGCAGTGCCTACGCTGCACTGGTACCGTCCTAGTTGTCGCAGTACCCTTGCAACACCACGTAGTTTTTTGTTTCTGTCACGTACCCCTTCTTTTGCATGTAGTTTTTTAGTTTCAGTGCCCGGCGTCATGAGCGTTGACCGCGTGGCATGGACCTTCCAGTTCTCCAAGTATTCAAGGGCATACAGGCGTAGGCTCCTGCAGGGCGCCCTTTGCTTGCAAACCTATCTACAGGAACAAGGTCTGCCGCCGTTGGCAAAGCTTGTGCGCCGCGCGGCAGTGAGCGACAATGTGCTGCGTGAGTTTGTGATAGACAGCCATGTGACTTCGGCACCCTCTTCGAAGCGAGCCCTCATGCTCTGCAAGCATGCTGTGTTGTTCTGCCAGATTAGTTGGCCTCGGCTTAAGCGAAACCTTCCAGAGACTTGGGCCTACCTCAACACATGGGAGGAAGGTGTCCCAGCTCAGATGCGCACTCCGCTGCCACTTCCAGTGCTGTTGGCCATGTGCATATTGGCCCGCACCCTTGCTTGTCAGGTTTCAGGCAGTTCCGCCCAGCTGTGGCTCTGTCATGCAGCGTTGCTTGAAGTAGCATTTTTCACCATGCTCCGACCAGGGGAGCTGTTCAAGCTCCGTGTGGGTGACGTGGCCACCGTCAGCAGCTGGAACCTGGGTATGCCCCATTGCACACTCAGGCTGCATCGCCCCAAAAATAGGCGCCATATGGGCTTCGAGCAGTTTGTCACACTTACCCACCCTAGTGCCTGTAACTGGTTGGCAGTCGTGACCCACGGCAGACGCAGTACTGAGCGGCTTTGGCCCTCAACTGCAGCTGAGTTTTGCGAGCGTTTCGCCTACCTGTTGCGAAAGCTGAAGCTGCAGGACGTTCGCTTGTCGCCTGCCAGTCTGCGCGCTGGGGGAGCCTCCTTCAAGTTCCAAAGCGGGGTCCCGATTTCTAGTATCAGGTTCCTAGGAAGATGGGCTAGCGAGGCTGCGCTAAAGCATTACATACAAGGCGCCACTGCGCAACAGTTGCTTCTACGCATGCCGTTGCCGGCCATCACGAGGCTCAAGCGCTTGCTCCACCGCGGTTTCGAAGCTCTCAGTGTCCCACGAGCTCTCAGCATAGGCTTGCCCCCCCAGCACTTGCTCAAGGTCAGCTTGTCCGTGCCTACTTCTGGCGAGGACGTGGTCGCAGCCTGCTACGCCTATGGAGTCATGGAAAGCTCGATTCCGGCAGGCCATTGTCAAGGATGGTCCGCTGAAGGGCGCTAGATACCTGGATGTGCCTGAGCAGCGCCTTGCCAAGGTGGCAAAGTCTTACAAGCACGATGACCGTTTTCGTCAGTTTGCACGCATGGCTACAGAAGCTCAGGCCGGCGACAGGGCTTCCTCAAACTCCGAAGGGGAAGTGCCTCCAGTTGCAAGGGTAGCGCGACGCCCAGCGGTTGGCTGGCGCTCGCGGTGCCACAGAGGTTTGCGGTGGTTAAGGTCGCTGCAGCAAGCCTTGCGCTGGTGCCTCGTGGTCTCCTTTCTAGTTCTGCTGTGCCGGCCATTTGCTCTACGCTTCGCTGCTAAACTCATTGGCGGGGTTTTGCGCCTAATCGTGCGGAGGCTCCTCAGTCTCATTGTGCTGGTCCTTGACCAAGTCTTTGAAGAGCTCATCCTGCAGCTGGCCGTTGTGGTGGAGCCTGCCTCGCCTTTCCTGCAGATGGCCAGTGTCCGTCGAGCCCCACGCTAGGCGTGCTGCACCAGCTGGTCCTGTCTTCGGGCGGCGCCTTGGCAGGCGCTTTGATTCATTATGTCTCTCAAAAGCTGCGCACCCGGCCGGTTTTTGCGCCTTTAGTCGCGCCACCGCCCCATGCACCACCAGATGGGCTGGGTGGGATGGAAGTTGTATGCAACGAGCTGCAGCCAGCGACCTGCCTTGCAGTTCTGTGCCTCACGGACCGCTGCCTGCAGCAGGCAGCCACGTGTCTCATGCAGTCTGCAGGCTGCCACTGCCAAGAGTGAATGTGTCGCATGACAGCTCCAGACATCTTTGCAGTTACCAGTCAGCTTGCAAGGTCAGTGGCTAGTTTAATGTTTCTTTGAAGCATCATTTCGCACAAAGTGCGTGTGCTCGCTTTGGCTCACCAACAACAGACACCTAGCATGTCCCCTGCGTGAAAAAGCTGCATCACGCGACACGCGATGTGATGTTGAGTGAGTATTGCAGCATGAGCAACATCGCAGGCATGTTGCCAATCGAAACACTCACCGCAGCTGTTAGTGTCGCCACCGCCGCCCCTCCACTCGACCGAAGTTGTATGCAACGAGCTGCAGCCAGCGACCTGCCTTGCAGTTCTGTGCCTCACGGACCGCTGCCTGCAGCAGGCAGCCACGTGTCTCATGCAGTCTGCAGGCTGCCACTGCCAAGAGTGAATGTGTCGCATGACAGCTCCAGACATCTTTGCAGTTACCAGTCAGCTTGCAAGGTCAGTGGCTAGTTTAATGTTTCTTTGAAGCATCATTTCGCACAAAGTGCGTGTGCTCGCTTTGGCTCACCAACAACAGACACCTAGCATGTCCCCTGCGTGAAAAAGCTGCATCACGCGATGTGATGTTGAGTGAGTATTGCAGCATGAGCAACATATATATATATATATATATATATATATGTTATTATGTTTCTCATTATTATTGTTATAGTTCGTTGCATATGTATGTCTTTGAGTCTTTGTGGTAAGCTCCAATCCCTGAACTCTAAACTCTACTGTCCCAAATTCTTTGATTCTGGGGCGTTTGCGCTGGATGCTCGGGACTGGGCTTTCCCTTTCAATGAGCCTCCTCAATGTTGTCGCCCTCATCATTTTTAGCGCCTTACTTACTCTTACGTATGCCTATATTGCTGTCATTACGATAGTATCCTTTATTGCTTTCATTACGACGACCCTCGATGCTCAGGAGACGCCAGCAGTTGCAAGCTTCCGTGGTGACCTTCAACACGAGCATAGCTACATTGCGGCAGAGGCGTTCTGACTCTCGCCCTCTCACTCGCTGCCTCTCTCACTCGCTGCCTTTATGAGTAGGGGGGTTTTCTTTCCCCATAGAAGACTTATTTCCGTGTGTATGTTTGTTTGTGTGTGTCACACCCTGTCTCTCAGGGCCGTCTGAGTGTACCTTTTATGATTCAGTCTGGAAGCATCTCAACAAGCAGGGGGCAGTCGGCAGTCCACACTGCCAACGAAGCTACTGCAGTTTGGGGAGGATACCGAATGTAGATGTCCCGTCATGGCAACCACGCCAAGCCCATAAACCTGGCAAGTGTGTGTATGTTGAAAGTCGCTGACTGAGCAATGAAACCTTTTGACGGCAATATTCTGAACCCGACACCCGAAACTCTACGCCCTAAACCCCAAATTCTCGTTCCAGAGCCTTAAACCCCCAAGTCCTTGTTTACCAGCCCTAAGTGTCCATGTACCCAAATAGCATACACTTTGGCCTTAAACTTAAAGTTGTCCCTATATAGGTACTGTGGGGCCTAAGTATATACTATTTGGGTACATGGACCCTTAGGGCAGGTGGGACGCCGGCATCCAGCTGCTCTGGCAGATGTCCGCGTCTGGTGTGGCTCCGAACATGATCAGCTGGAATGCCGGCAGCCCGGCGGCCCGAAATGGATCAAGAAGGGCTTTCGGGTGTCTTAAAGGGAGGTTTAGGGTTTCTCAAAGGAGGGGCTTAGGGTTTCTTGGAAGAGGTTTAGGGTTTCTTGGAAGAGGGGTTAGGGGTTTGGGAGTTTCTTAGCTATCCAAATCAAGGTTGAAGCTTCTTGAAGCTTGTGGAAGTCTTAGAAACAGTGTCGTGAAAGTTAAGAATGACTTCTATACCCGCTGTTTGTTTTGCCTCGCGACGCCTTCACCAGGAGGGTTGTACGTCGACGCCCTGCTTTTTGTGTCCAAGGGTAAAAGGAGGGACCCTTAATAAGGACCCCTAGGTATATACCCCTAATATAGCTATTATATACCCATTATATAGCCCATTGTAGGGTAGGGGTCCCCATTAAGGGTCCCTCCTTTTCCCCTTTGATTGTGCCCACGTCATAGAGGACTTCTAAAGGGTTCTTCAAAAATCGGCCAAGGCAGCCCAGCCAGGACTTCGTGGTCTGTTGGGGAATAAAGGTTTGAGGGTTTAGCGCTGTGTAGCTTCGGGTTTGGTGTCCTTTCGCTCTTGAACCCCGCAAACCTGTTAAACTCGCTTCTGAGGCCTTCAGAAGCTTAAGCCTTAAACTTCAACCCAGCTCTTCAATCCTAAGCCTTCAGCTGCTGCTGCTGCTGCTGCTGCTGCTGCAGGAGCGACGGCCTTCGCAGAGGGACAGCACTGGTCTCGGGTCGTTGGTTCCTCGGTCCCTTTATCTGCCCTCGGGAAGCGAACCTCTGATTAAAAGACCCTAAGGGTCCATGTGCCCAGATAGTATATTCTTTGGCCTCAAAGTAGTCCCTGCAATACTATTTGGGTACATGGATCCTTCGGGAAAAGCTTCAGCGCGAAGTCAGGAGTTCGGTTTCTTACAGGAAAAAGGCTTGCAGCACTAAACCCTAAACCCCAAACCCAAAACCCTAAACCCGAAACCCTAAACCGTAACAGAAAAGCAGGGTTTCGCCTGACACTGAGCCTGCGTCACACTTTCATCTTCCTGCCTGGGGGGGACTTGGTCGACAATATAGAAGCCCGAATAATTGAAGACATTTTTCCTTAGAGTTTTATGAAGGCGAGGGGCTTATGGCCTAGGGGTTCATGCAGGATTTTCGGGGTTAGGGGTTGAGGGATTTGGGGGTTTGAGTTTGGTTCGCCATTTTGCCAGCGTCCATTTTCAGGGTCTTTGGTTTCTTCTGAGCGTTCTCATCTGTTATTGTCACTTATCAGAAGTAGCCTAAACCCTAAACTCTAAACCCTAAACTTCGGCTGTGGAGGGTTGGTTCTGGCCTAGTTTGTCTTCAGCGATTTGCTGGTGTGGAGGTTTGCGGTTTTACGGTTTTGGGGCTTTAGGATGTAGGATTCCCCAGGGGCCGACCTGAGTTTTAGGGGCTTTGGGCAAGTGTGGAAGTTGTATACTTGAACTGGAGCAAAGTTGGGACACCGTAACCAAAACCCCAAACTCGACCTAAATCCTAAACCGTAAACCCTACAGAAAATCCCTAAACCCAGCGCAAACCCTTAAATCTGGCAAATCCTAGACCATTTGAGGCCTTCTTTCGAGCCTTCGCCGCCGGCGACTAGCGCCCGGGCCGGCGGCGTACGTCGCTGGGATCCGGGCCTCCAGCGCCCTCTGGGAGGCAGGCGTAGGGTTTAGGATTTAGGGGTTAGGGTTGAGGGTTTACCCTTAGGCTCTAAGGACTCACATTTTAAGGCTTCTGGGCCCAAAGACCATACTCTCTAAGGCTGTTGGGCAATTTTGAGCCTTAGGGTTAGGGTTTCGGAATTAGGGGAAAGGGTTAAGGATTTTGGATTTAAAGTTTAGGGTCTAGGGTTTGGGTGTAGGGTCTCGGGATGAGGATATAGGGTCTAGGGATGAGGGTTTAGAGAGTATAGCGGGTTTCCAGGGTTTTAGAGGGCCTTGACCCGAAATGTGCTCAAAGTCCCTACACACCTAACCCCCAAACCCTAAGCCCTAAACCCTAATCCCTAAACCCTAAACAGTGTAGATCTCGGGCATAAACCCAGGAGCCCAAGCCGTTACGAAGGCCTTCAAAACAAAAAACTTCCATATAAGTTCTTCAAAGAACCCTTATACAAACCCTTAAATGAACCCTTTATATATCCTCTTTCAGGAACCCTTATATAAACTCTTAACGGAACCCTGGTACAAACCCTTAAATGAACCCTTTTTACATCCACTTTTGGGAACCCTTATATAAACTTGTAAAGGGACCCTTACAAAGCCCCTTACATGAACCCTCATATATCCCACTAGAGCAGCCCCGAACCCCCGGTAGCCCTTTAAGTGAACCCTTAAGTAACCCTACTTCGGGCCTGCCCTGAACCCTTCTGTGGCCCCTTAAGTGAACCCTTAAAGTAACCCTACTTCGGGCTGCCGGCTTTTGGAGGTGGCCCGAGAGGTGCTCGCCGAGGCTTCTTGGGCGAGTTGCCGCCTGATCCTTCGTCATAGTTGGATAGCCTTTTGGCTGTGGGGTTTTGGCTTTGGCTTGAGGGTTTATAGAGTCTTGGCTTTAGGCTTCAGGGCTTTTAGGGTTTAGGGTTTAGGCTTTTGGCTTTAGGGTTTTTAGGCTTTAGGGTTTTTAGGGTGTAGGGTTTAGGCTTCAGGGTTTTGGCTTTAGGGTTTAGGCTTTGGGCTTTACGGTGTAGGGTCTAGGGTCTAGGGTTAGGGTTTTGCATTCGACACAAGAGAAACGAAGAGTTGGGGGTGGCATTTTACATATTTACGGGTAGTTATAACCCAAGAAGGAATAGAAAGTTAGGTTTGTTTGCATGATCTCTGGACTAATCCCAAGAAGGAATAGAAAGTTAGGTTTTTTTGCAAGATCCCAGCCATGGACCAGGAACGTCGTGGCCTACAACGGCGGCTTGCAATCCTGTGGAGAGGATCAGCGGGTTACCCGGCCATAAGCCTAAGCCCTACTTGAAGGATCATGGGACTTAGTAACTAGGGTTACAATTAGGGTAACTATACTTATAACTACTTAGAACCCCAATTAAGGTACTAACTTATAACCTTACTTACTAAGTCCCAGGATCCTCCAAGTAAACCCTGAAACCCTGGCCTTGCCCCTGATCAGGCAGCATGAAAGGCGATAAAAGGAGCTTTAGAAAGCAAGCCCTCAAACCAAAATCCTAAGCCGTAGGGCCTTGGGGTTTGGGTTGAGTGAGAACCCTTGAAGTGTAGGGTTTTTTGGGGGCGCTTTTGAGGAGCATGCTGGGTGGCCACAGGCCCTGCGGCTTCTGCAGTTCGGATGCAGTCGGGAAGCTTGTTTCGTTTTAGGGTTTAGAGCTCTTGGGGTTCGGGGTTTAAGGTTTACGGTTTCCGGGTTCGGGGATTCCGAACAGAAGACCGAAGGAACTCCTATACCGTTAACAGGAAAACCCTTTACCCCAGCCTATACCTGCAACCCGAGGGAACGTATGAGGGCGTTTTGGCGAGGAATCTTGCCCTAAGCCCCAAACCCAAAACCCCAAAACCCTAAACTCCAAACCCTAAACTTGTAGCTCGCATTTTCTTCTTCACCGTCTGGAGGTTCAGGCTTTAGGCCTTTCAGAACCTGATCACCCACGTACTTAATAAGGGGCCTTAATAATTGGAATAGGGTTTGGAGGTAGAATATAAGTATAGTATACTTATAACAAGGAACCCCCCCAAAATAAACCCTATTCTAATTATTAAGGCCCCTCCAGTAGTCACCTGTTGTATCTGTTTTTTGCGGAGTCAGAACTGGGTTCCCCCAGATATAGATAGGGTACGTTTTAGTGCCTTTTAGGGTTCCTTTTTAAAGGGTGCCGTACTGTGGTGGCGACCCCAAAAGGCACCCCCAATTTACAGAACTGCCCGCGTAGTGTTAAACTATAAGTATAGGTTGCAAATTACAGGTATCTCGAGCCTAGATCCGCTGAGCCCTAAATCATCAAACCCACAATTACAACCTCACGCCCTGCTGAATCCTACGGGCCACCGTGCACGTCGAAAGTCCGAGGTCGGAGATGGAAGCGGTCAGAATCGAGGCCAACACAGTGAGTTTCAACGCTGCGCTCAGTGCCTGCGAGGTGGGTTGCGGTTTTGCCGCAGAGGCTTCGGGGTTCTGGGTTGTGTGGCTTCAAATCAAAAGCCAGAGCCCTGAAGTGCTACACAACTCAAGCCTTGCGCGCTAAACTGCTGCAACCTTGAATTCCTCACCTTATATAGCCCAAACCCAAGAGGGGCAAAATAACAATAATAGGGTTTCTAGGGTTAGTCTTTACCATTAAAGTATAATATACCCCCCAAGACCCTATTCTAATTAGGTGTCGCGAGGTGGAAGGCTGCTGGCAGGTGGCACTGCAGCTGCTGGCTGACATGGCAACTCAGGATTTAGAGTTTAGGGTTTAGGGTTTAGGGTTTCCGGGAAGTGGTGGGATCTGCTTTGTATGTGGGCAGTTCTCTCAATTGGGGTCCCTTTTGGGGTACTCTTTACAAGGGTGACGTAATGCTTTTGGAGACCAAAACCGAGCCCATGAGTTTTCCTACGCAACCTTCGGATGCTGTCTTTCGTTTTCGTTATTCTGTTGCCCCATAACGGCAGCAAAAACCATAATGTTACACTCCTGTGCCAAAACGAGCAAGATAATTTTCCGTGAGTTTTCTGGGAAAGTAAGGATTCGCAGCCAGACGTCATCAGCTTCAGTAGCTGCATCAGCGCGCTGCAAAAGGGTGAACAGTGGCCAAGAGCTTTGCACCTCCTATCCGAAATGCCTGCTGCTGGTCTCAGGCCCAACGTCGTTACACTAAATGCTGGTATTAGCGCCTGCGAGAAAGGAGGGCAGTGGGAAGCGGCCCTCTTTCTGCTAGCTGGAATTCAGCCATCGCGGCTCTTCCCTACCGTGATCAGCTACAGCGCTGGCATCAGTGCCTGCACAAGGGCTTCGCAATGGCAGATGGCATTGCGGTTGCTGCCGCTGCACTGCATTGTGTAAGTGTCTGAATCTGCAACATACCGTACAACGGCTTCAGCAGAACTCAAAGCCCAAAAGCCTTAATGAGAACCTCAAAGCCGATCCGCAGTCAGTAGCACCCTAAACCCGAACTCCTAGGGTCCTAGACCCTAAACCCTAATCCCTAATCCCTAAACCCCTAAACCCTAAACCCTAGGCTCTCAATGCGAAGCATTGCCCATGAAGGTCCGAAATGTCGGCGGCCCACATCTTACCAAATGAGGTCAGCTTCAATGCCAGCATCAGCGCATGCGAGAAGCTTGGCCTTTTAGGGTCTGGGGTACTTGAAGGATCATGGGACTTAGTAACTAGGGTTATAGTTAGGGTAACTATACTTATAACGACTTATAACCCCAATTAAGGTACTTGTAACCTTACTTACTAAGTCCCAGGATCCTCCAAGTAGACCCTAAACCCTAAACCCTATAGATCCCTTTAAGGAACCCCTATGGATCCCTTTAAGGAGCCCTTCTTCTGGATTTTCAGATTCGGGCTCCTTTCTACTTGGTTGTTGGTTGAAGGTGCATCGAGCATGACACATAGGCATATGGGAGTTTCCGAAAATTAGGGGTACCTTATTTGGGGCCCTAATAAAAATAAGGATCCTACTATATTAGGGTACCATATCAGGGTCCCCTATTTTCGGAAACCCCCATTAATTGAGAGCCTTCCCAGTTGCAGGCAGAGTTGCTTGTTGACAGCCCGGAAATACTTGTGAACCAAAAGCCTTCACAGAAACCCTAATACCCCTAAACCGTGACTTTTGAAGAAACCTTTGTGGAACCCGCGGGGATTCCAGGAAGAGTGGGAAATGGCGAGTGGCTCTCCAGCTCTTCTCGGACATGCTCTTGGCAAGAGTCCGACCTTCCAAGATAAGCTTCTGGTCATGCGAATAAACCCAAGAAGACAATGATGGTGTTCTTTCCTGTATATTCTGTCTGGCTTTGGCAAATGTGATTATGCACCCAATGCCCAAAACCCTACACGGCATCTTAACCCCTTTAACTTCCCGAGCCAAGCCCATAAGTTAAGAACCCCATGGACCCATCTAAAGCTCATAATAGGTCTCCCCTCGAACATGGTCAGCCTGGCAAATTCGCGACGCTTTCCGGGCCCGTAGAAGACTCTGTGTGTGTGTGTGTGTATAACTGTATATATATATATATATAAATATGTATGTACATGTACATGTGCTCACCCCTCCCCTCTCGGCGACAGACCATCGAAGGGAAAATGGCTAAACTCGTAGAAGCTTAAGGGTGCCATACTTGGCTTGAACAGTTCATCTACATCTCGAGCGTATCGTTGTGTCAATAGCTTATTTAGCCTTGGCTTGCGAAAGACCCACAGCTTTGTACAAGCAGGGAAATCGCACTTAACTTCAATGGAGACTATCACTTGGCAAGTCCTTATGCAAGATGATTGCTAATCACTTGCCCTAAACCCTAAACCCTAAACCCTACACCATAACCCTAAGCCTTAAACCTTAAACCCTAAGACCTGTGCGAACATAGATTTTAATCTCTGCGCGAAGACGTTTCTATGGGAAGACCAGTCCACTGTTAGCTTTTGTCCGGTTATTAAGCACCGAACTCTCGTCTTTGTCTACGATTCAAAACCATGCAAGATTTCGACTTATGTGTGGTTTCTGTTTGCGTGGGGGGGGGGGGTCTTCATGTGCGTATGGCTTTAACAGGTGCTTACAGTACAGAGCCCTGATCAATCCTTGATAGAGTCGGAAAGGCTAAACCCTTAAACCATAAAGCCTAGAACCCTGAACCATAAACCCTAAACCCTGACCTCTACACCCTATCCCCAAACCCCTAAACGCCAGACCCAACATCCTCTGTTCCTCTAGTCCCAGGTTACAGCACGGGCATAAGTGCCCTGGAGAAGGGTGGACAGTGGCAACGTGCGGTTTTCCTGCTTTCCGAACTTTCATCATCTGGCTGCAGCGATGTGGTAAGCTGCAATGCCCCTCGGGTGGAAAGCAGCAGCACCAGATTTTCTTGCTCGTGTGGCTCAAGTTCCTGCATCACCCTAGGTAACTAGCTAATTGTCGGATTCATGGTGTGTTCTCGGCTGTGAATATGTGGGGTGAGGGTGAAGTTTTAGTGATTGGGGATTTGGGCTTAGGTCTGTGTAGGGAGTGCCTGACATGCGAGGTTTGCCGTGTTCTGGTTGTTTCTCACAGTGAAGCTCATAACATGCATCCTTGCCTTAAACCCGCTCGGGCCCCAACATGCTCCAATCCTTTGCCCCCAAGCTGCAGCTCTTGAGATTTAGCGCCTGGCACCAGTGGAAGGTTCAGCTAAGCCTGTAAACCTTGCCTTTACTCTAAATGAAACCCCAAACCACAAATAAGAACCAGACAGCCTACTAAGAACCCTAAACCCCTCTAGTATAACCCCTATAGTAACCCTTAAAGGAACCCTTAGGGATATGAAACCTCAGAGCAAAGCCCTGAAACCGAGGCCTGCATCAGTGCCTGCGTCCAAGGCACGTGGGAGGGTTTACACCGTGGTGTCTCACGGCTCGACTTGTCGGAGATGGAATGGGGGATCGTTTTCCACATATTACGGAATGCCACACAAGTCGAATACAGCCCTATACAGAATCTGAAACGCCAAAGAAGAGCCACGACGGCTGCTTTGCTACCAACAGGCAGTTGAGGGCGTCTGATCACCAAGCTCAGGCAACTTGCGCGTCTTGCATCCGAAGCCCCAAGACCCAGAGCGCCCGCTGTTTCAAACCCCAAATCCTGATGCTGGCAATCGTACTCTTAAGCTTAACAGGGAATATGTGCTTTAGTCAAGTTGATGAAGATGGTATGGTCTTGTTTGAGTGAGACCTAGGGTTCTATGTACTGTAAGGGTTTTCTACCGCCCCCTAAAATGGGGAAAATTTTGAGGATCCTGGACCCAACAAGTGTGTTCGATGCTGACCGTTTTGATCCCTCTGCCTTTGAATTCTGCTTGTGGGTTGAGGGTTCAAAAGTTTAAAGTCTGGGCCATAGTTTACAGCGTCAGGTTCAGGATATATGTAGGGACTTTAGTCAGACTTTAACCTATGTTGGGCTTTAAGGTTTCAGAGTTCAGGGTGTCGGGACTCCAATCAAAAGCTCAAACCCCACAACTCCTGCTCCAAAATCCTACGTCGCCTTGACAGCACCAGCTACAGTCGCAAAGGGTTTAAGCTCTGCCGAGCGTGCGGAGGTACTTGGAGGATCATGGGACTTAGTAAGTAAGGTTATAAGTACCTTAATTGGGATTATAAGTAGTTATAAGTATAGTTACCTTAATTATAACCCCAGTTACTAAGTCCCATGATCCTTTAAGTAGGGGGATGTTTGAAGTTCAGAGTGCAGCGTGCCCCACAGAGAGAATACCCTCGACACAAGATGTACTCTAAGCCCAAACTCTACCCAAAGCCGAACATGTACCCTAAACCCTATACTATCTATACCATATACCCTAGATCGCATATATTATATTTACCTATACCCTATAGACCTATACCTTATACCCTATACCCCAAGCTCTAAACCCTAAGGGCCCTAAACCCTAAACTCTAACCAGACCCTAAACCCCAAACTAAGCCCTGGAACCTAAACTAAGCCCCACACCCTAAACTAAGCCTAAACTAGGCCCTAAACCCTCAACCAAGCAGCCTAGCCAGAAGGACTTGAGTGGGAGCTGGCTCTGCAACTCCTGGGAAACATGCGCCCTGGGCTCGAATACTACGGTTGATGATATAAATCCTGGGGTTCCCTTAAAGGGATCTATAGGGGTCCTTTAAGGGGCTCCTTTAAGGGATCTATAGGGTTTTAGGGTGTAGGGATATAAATCCTGCATTACCCGCAATAAGGAATATACCATAATTCCCATAGTCTAGGGTCATTAAGGTAATGCAGATTTATATCATCAACCGTATGGGGGTTACTATAAGGGTTTAGCGTTGAGGGTTTAGGGTTAACAGGGGTTTGTTTTTAGGGTTTTAGGACCTAGGGTTCAGGGTTTATAAAGTTTCGGGTTTGAATAGGGGTTACTATAAGGGCCATAAGGGTACAGGGTTGAGGGTTTATTTGGGTTTATGTAGGGTTTACTTAGTAGCCATGTGCCCTGGGCTCGAATACTCTTGGGGGTTAGTGGTGAGGGCTTCAGGATCTAGAGTTTAAAGTTTGGGGTTTAAAGGTTTAGGGTCAAACGGTTTAGGGTTTTAGGATCTAGGGTTTAGAGTTTAGGGTTTAGGGTTGATAAGGGTTAAGGTACTTAGTAGGGTTTAGGGTTACTTAGTAGGGTGTGGGGTTTGGGGTTTAGAGTTTAGGGTACAGGGTTTAGGGTTTATTTAGGATTATGTAGGGTTTACTCCGTAGCTGAGTAGGTAACCTTTCACCTTTTGGGGTTCATATACTCCTACCATAACTGAAACGTTAACCTTGTCTTAGGCTAGGGTACTCAGCCTTTCAGACTAGATGGGTTACTATATGGGTGGTTGTCCAAATCAGGGTCCCGTTTTGGGTACCCTAAATATTAGGTGCCATATTGAATAAAGGACTCAAAAAGGGACCCTAATTTTGACAACCACCCATATGGGTTAGAGTTTGGTGTTTCAGGTTTTAAGGCTGCTTTAAGGTTGACTGCACGGGCGTTGCTTGACAAGGGTGACTAAACGGGTTACTTTACGGATTACATTACCCTAGACCGCCGAACCCTGAACCCCTATACCCTAAAGCAAACCCTAAACCCTAAGTCCTAAATCCTCTCACTAAATGATTTAATGTTCCTTAGGGCGGCTCCTTGAGTAGTTCCTCGTGTTCCTTAGGAATCTTTGAAGGGTTCCTAGAAAGGCTGCGAAAATGTCGCAGGGTTCCTGCACGGGTCGCTATGAGTGGTCTGTGTGTTTCTTCGCTTCGGACCTCGGAATTGAGAGTTGTGCTCATTTCATGAACGGAATTTCGCCGTCGGTTGTTAATCCAGTAT